AATTCAATATCATCCCTAAATATAGTAACAAAAAGAGTAGTATGAAAAATATAACATTCACAAATAAAAATATTAAATATTATAGAGGAAATATTAAAAGAAATGTGCTGAATCTATATATAAGAAACAAAACATTGTTCAGAGACATAAAAGAACTGATTGAATAAGTATTTGGAATGGAAAGATTCAACATTAAAAAGATTTTAGCTACCCTATAGTTTTATAATCTTTTAAAAAATCACTTTGCAACTTTAATTAGCAACTTCTAAATCCAAGATAAATTTTACAGAAGTATACAAGCACCTTAAAGAAAAATTTTGAATGAGGTCTTGCAATACTGTTCAAAAACACTATAAAGCTACAGTGATTAACACAGCCTAGCACTTTAAAAGTTTAGATAGAAAGATAAATGGAATAGAGCCAAAAAATGAGAGTAGCTGCAAATATGCAGTCCATATGTAATAAAAGATGTTATTTCAAGTCCAATGGGATAACATGGATTATTTAATAAATGATACAGAGATATTTGGTTAACTACTTGAGAAAAAAATCTGAAATTATCCATCAAAGTATATCCAAGAGGAGTGAAACAGTTAAGTGTATAAAAATATAGTCAAAGAATTGGAAGAAAATACAGTAGAATATAATTTTAGATTGGAAAAATCTTTCTAAACAAACCCCAAACAGGGGGGGGAGAAAAAAGCATTAAAACAGGGAGGGAAAGATTTGATGACAAAACCATAAAGTAAAGAAAATGACAAAATACACAAATATGACAAAGAAAGGCTAGTACCATTAAAGAGTCTTATGAAACCGTAAGAACTAAACAAATCCTTTAAAGGAAAAATGGGCAAACAACATAAACAGACAGTTTACAAAGGAAGAGACATTTAATCCAAATGAATTTAGGTAAAACTTCTCATTATCAATTAAAATAAAATGAATTCAAATTATATCAGCAACAATGTTATATTCCCCTCTCAAACTGGCAAGGAATGTTTAAAATAATCATAGTTGGCAAGGAAATACCTGCTAGTGAGAGCACAGAACCCTATATTCTATCTGAAGGGCAATGTGGAAATATGAACTAAAAGTCTTTCTAAAAAGAACACATTCTTCAACCTGGTAATTTCACTTTTTCAGAATATATCTTAAAAAAATAATTACTAATTAACACTGAAAATACAAAAAAGTTAGCCATATTCAAGGTTTTCTTTATAATGACAAACAATAAAACCTTAAATATTGAATAACAGTCTCAGTTAAATTATAAGAACCTCACTTTGTATCATATTTGCAGCAAATAAAAGTAATATTTTAGAAGACAACCTAATCATAGGGAAATTCATAATATATCATTAAGTGGGAAAAATAAATTACAAAAGAATAATAAAAGGATAATTCTAATTTTAAGGAAAAATAATTCTAAGGCATATGCACACATTAAAATGGAAAGGATATACACTATAATACAGGTAGAATTAAAGGACAATCATATTTTCCTTTAAGTGTGTTTATATCCTTTTTATAACACATATGAATTTTATAAAGAGGGAAAAATAATGAAATATATAAATACACATTGCTAAGATACACTAAACCAATAGTGGTATGTTTTTCATTTCTTTTCCTTTTTTTTTTTAAATTTATTTTGTGGCTGCACCGCATAGCATGTGGGATCTTAGATCCCCAAACAGGGATAGAACTCGACACCCTTGTAGCAGAGGCATGGAGGGCTAACCACTGAAACATCACGAAATTCCCCAGGTATGTTTTTCTTGGAGATAGTATTTAAATCACCCTAAATTTTCTGAATAATTAGAACTAATTTTGGTGACTAATAACTGACTTGATCTTACCTACAATAAAAGTGTGTGTTGAGTTTTAGTAGTGGCCCAATCAAACTACTTGAATACTACTTTAACTAAACATTTTTTGTTTTTTTATCATATTTTTGGAATCTTTTTATATGATTATGCTGACAAAATATAAAGATGTAAAAACAGACACTGATGTAGAGTAAATAGAAATAAAAAATTTAGTAAGAATCTTATCTTCTATGCCCATAAAAACAGAGCAGCACACAAATGAAAGTTCACATTTTACAAACAGAATCCATAAAAACAAAAAGTTAAAGAATTTGAAAAGCCTGATTTTGCATGTTTCACTTTTGAGATTTTGACTACATAAAACTAGTACAGTTTTTGCATTTTTGAATCAAAAATAAAGAAATATAGAAAGTGGGATTGGAAAGATAACCCAAATCATAAAAACTTGATGCTGAATCATAACATAATAAAATGTTAGCTTCCACTTTACTGAGAGAAAACAAGACCCCCATCATTCACGCTGGCAAAAGCTTGCCTTTGCATAAACCATTTCTGTACTCACTGTCATAAAACCAATGACTTTGGAAAGGGAAGAAAACAGAGAATGACGTGCAAAGTAGCACAAACCATGTTATTGCAGCTGGATAAAGAATATGTCACTAATGACTTTCTACACATCAGTTATAAATTGAGTTTCTTTTTTTTCTCCAAAATAGCAAGTAGCCTTTATGAGTTCAAAACAGAAGCAGTGAAATTCAAAATACTACCCACTTTCCACTTGATTTTGATATTGCCTTAGTTAATAGAATGTTATTAATTATTCCTTGGAAAAGATATTACTACCCTTTCTCTTCATTTGAGGTGAACATAACATGTCTCAATACTAGGCAATATTCTGTAATAAATTCAAAATAAAATTTTCATCAGATAGTTATCACCAAATGTTCATCTTAAATGAGAAATTATCCATGGGAATATTCACCTGAAGTCATTTGATAAATTCAGAAAACTAATGTAATTAAGTTCTCAAATTGTCAGTTTAAGTGACAGAGTGATAGAGCCATGACTATCTGTAAGGGATGACTGAGAAAAGTAATTAATGACAACAGATTCTATCCACAAAACCAAAAGCTAGTGATACAGTACTTCATCTCCATAAAGGACTTAACAAGAGGGAGCTGGGCAAAAAGCATAACTGCTTAACTGATAGGGCAGCTTAATTTTGCAATGGATTGGGACTGCCCACTTCTTAATTTGTTTCAAAATAATAATGCCAATCAATTATCTTTAAAATAAGGATGCTCATTCTCAGCCAGGTCAGAGATCATGAAATTTTAAGTCCTGTGAAATCTATCTGAGATTAATTAACCTAAGATCCTATGGGCAGTTAATAACAACCACAACTTTCCCTCGTGAAGGTTTTCTTAAGGGCAAGCAGTTTTAAAAGCTTTACATATACTAATTCTCTTAATGAGCCTTGGTAGGTACTTTTGTTGTGTGCGCTCAGTCGTGTCCGACTCTTTGTGACCCCATGGACTGTAGACCGCCAGACCGTCCATAGGATTTTCCAGGCAAGAAAAATGGAGTAGGTTGTCATTTCCTCCACGAGGGGATTTTCCTGATCCAAGGATTGAACCTGCGTCTCCAGCATCTCCTGCATTGGCAGGTGTATTCTTTACCACTGCACCACTTGGAAAACCCAAGTACTTTTACTATCCTCATTTTAGATACAAGGAATTCAAAACATTGAAACCTTCAGTGACTTGCCCCAAGTCACTCATCTAGTAAGTGACAGAGCCAGAATTTGAACAGGGAACCAGGCCTCAGAATCCAGTAATAAATATAAATAGCACACTCTATAAACTCCTTGTTATAGTTACTACAGCTGATCATTTCTGACCAGGAAAAAAATTCAAATTAGTGATTTGGATTCATCAATTCAGTTCAGTTCAGTCGCTCAGTTGTGTCTGACTCTGCGACCCCATGAACTGTAGCACGCCAGGCCTCCCTGTCCATCACCAACTCCCGGAGTTCACCCAAACTCATGTCCATTGAGTCGGTGTCCATCTCATCCTCTGTCATCCCCTTCTCCTCCTGCCCTCAATCTTTCCCAGCATCAGGGTCTTTTCAAATGAGTCAACTCTTCACATGAGGTGGCCAAAGTATTGGAGTTTCAGCTTCAGCATCAGTCCTTCCAATGAATAGTCAGGACTGATCTCCTTTAGGATGGACTGGTTGGATCTCCTTGCAGTCCAAGGGACTTTCAAGAGTCTTCTCCAACACCACAGTTCAAAAGCATCAGTTCTTCGGCATTCAGCTTTCTTTATGGTCCAACTCTCACATCCATACATGACTACTGGAAAAACCATAGCCTTGACTAGATGGACCTTTGTTGGCAAAGTAATGTCTCTGCTTTTCAATATGCTGTCTAGGTTGGTCATAACTTTCCTTCCAAGGAGTAAGCATCTTTTAATTTCATGGCTGCAATCACCATCTGCAGTGATTTTGGAGCCCAGAAAAATAAAATCTGACACTGTTTTCACTGTATCCCCATCTATTTGCCATGAAATGATGGGACCGGATGCCATCAATTAAGCTACAATAATTTCAAAAGGAAGAACTAAAATCATCTTATTTAATTTGTTCATTTTTGACATAACATTTTTTTCATACTCTTTTGTTCAGCAAATGAAACTATGGGCTTCCCCGGTAGCTCAGCTGGTAAAAAATCCACCTGCAATGCAGGAGACCCTGGTTCAATCCCTGGGTCTGGAAGATCCCTGGAAGAGGGTATGACAACCCACTCCAATATTCTTGCCTGGAGAACCCCAATAAACAGAGGAGTTTGGCAGGCAAAAAGTCAGACACAACTGAGTGACTAAGCACAGCACAGCTAAAGCTACTGTTTTCCTTCTGTGCCAAGGAGGAAATTAATGAAGTAGTTTGTTCTGTAAGTTATATGTTTATAGACTAAAAAAACAAGGCAAAATTTTCATTCTATAAACATTACAAAAGAATAAAAGTTCAGGAACATACTATATATTTACCCTCTCAAATATAAATAAATATTAGAGGTAAGAATTTAATGTTAGGGTACAGAAGATAAGTAGATATATTGTGGTACAAAATAACATTTCTACATTGCTATGTTTGATATTTTGTATACTGTACCTTTAATTTCTCCTAGAAGTTCACTGGTATTTAACCTTTCCATTTTTTCCTTCCAATCTTTTGAAAGTAGTTTTTCCATGCAGGAGGAATCTATTAAAATTAAAAAGTAAGTATTAATAAAAATATTATACATGTTTTAGATAAGTATTAAAATATTACACATATAGAAGTCTATGGAGTTAATGGAGAAATTCTATCATTCAAAAATGATCAAAGATTTTTTTGTTGTTGCTGCTTTAACCCTAGGATATAGACAAGTATATTATTCTATCTATTATAAAATACCACAACTAAATTTTTTTCGCTGGAAAATTATTTACACTATTTCCAGGAGAAAAATAACAATGCTCAATAATCTTATCTTGGTATCATAATTTTAGCTAATTAATATTCAGCCAGTCTTTATCACTTCTTTAGACTAATAGAACAGAACAAGGAGCTTTTTTCTACAAGCTTAAGTTTAGATATTATCCCTTTTAATTCAGGTGATTTTTTTTTTAAGTCCAAGCAAAATTTGTGTGCTGTTTAAGGAAGAATGACAAATTTTCAAGTGAGAAGAGAATAATCAACCTGTAACTCCTTGTTCCTTAAAAAAGAAATACACAGATGGCAACTTTTGTAAATACCCATTTAGAGTAAAATGCAAAGAAAATAAAGTCAAGATATTCTCTGTCCTCCAGTAATAAAAACAGTTAAAACCTTTATGTAAAAAGAGATGCATGATCTTTTCAAGAAGATCCTTATTTAAACGTTATTTGACCTACTGCATTTCTAAACAGCACACTAGATTTTGGAAGTTATTACACTTGTTTCTATAAGATTCATAAAGCTTAGAGAAGTTTACATTTAAGAGTGTTCTAATAATTAGCAAATTTTTATCAATGAGTTATTTTTTCTCTGACCAGGTAGATTTGAAACTAGAGCTACTGCTTATAACTACTTACATGCATCTTTTAAGTCTCAAATTTTAATAAACAGGCCATGTTTCCAAAAGGGAAAGCAGATTTAAATACTCAATCCTTGTGCAAAGCATACTCCCATTATACTTTAACATTCCAAGTGTCAAAATTCTGATAACCTCTTTTTAAAATTATATTTAAAATACTTATTTCAACTCCAAATGTTTTTTCTCTCCCATATCAGTACCTATCTCTTTAGCATTTTCTCTTTCATTTTTTCTCCAACTTCTAAATCCTCCTTGAATTTTTCAGAATGACAGTAAGGTTAAGATGGATCTAAAGGGTTTCAGAAGCTTGATAAGCTTAGGCAAAGACAGTGAGCCCCTGGGTAAGAGATGAGAAGACCACTGCATGGTTAGAACATATTGGTGAAAACAATTAACATTTGTCCATGACATGATCAATCAATCGAGGAATGGATGGAATCCAGATCAGTGTGTTGGGAAACTGCTGATGAAGAACTAGCTATCACAGGAGCCAAAGTTCTTTCTAAATAGAAGTCAGCTTGATTCTATTAAGTGAAAGCTCTTTGCTCCTTCCCTTACTTCTTCCCTTCTTTCCTTTCCTCCTTTTCTTCCAGGCTTTCCTATTAATTATTTTCTTAGGCTTAAACAAATGATCTACCACTGTGATTAAAAATTGAATTCTGAGTGACCTGCCAATAGGGTCTCTATGCATATGTATATGTTCAGTTTGCATTTAATTTCCAAAATATTCTCTTGGATTTTAATTCAGAAACAAGTTGTATACATTGTTCTGTACATATTTTGTTTCTAGGATAAAATCAAAGAAAAGATAATGTTAGGTGTGGGGGTTAAGAAAGAAATCTTTAGAGTCATGCCTATCAGAGATTACTTTTCCTCAAATCAGGTTTAAATTTCTGGATATAACATTAGGTCATATATAAGAATAATCAACAAAATGTTTTCAACTTCCTCTCCTACTTAGTTTTGTTGCTTTTTAAAAAAACTTTTTCACATATATTACAACATCATACTAAATTGATAATCACTGATATAAATGCTAAAGCATAACTTGTTTGGTTAAAATTTGAGTTGAGTTGACATATTATAATGATCAAGACAAAATCTCAATTTACTAGTAATGATCAGAGCAATTTACTAATAAAATTTACTAGTAAAATTCAGAGCAAGTTCATGAACTAGGATTAGATACACACTAAATGTAAAACAGGCTAAAATATGTCTCTCATTTCTATTAATAGACCTGAAATCTTTCAGAGCTCCAGGAAAAGAATGCTAAAACTTCATAGGAGAAAACAGAATTATATGGACAACATGAACATACACTTCAAATATTTATCAAATATGTTTGAAGACACAGCTTTATATAAGAGCTAGTCATTAATTAAATGGTTAAGAAATTAAAACCATTCACATTTCTATTAGAAAATTAATCCTCACCATAATGCTGAGTTAATCTAGCTATATAAATTCTCATTTCAGTAGAAGAAACTGAAAGGAAAAAAATAAAGCAGTCTTTGCATGTGTATATTTACAGCTCATGAAAATAGTAACAATCACTGATTGTCTTTATCTGCAGGGCAATAAAAGTCAGGACATACCACTTTATCAACATTCAAAACTGTGAGAAAGTCTCTTGAAAAACAGGTTTCTCACCTAAAATCTATTTGCCAGCCCTCTAAGGGCATACATACACAGTAAGCTCTCAGCACATTCCATAATGTAATGTAAAACAGTAAGGGGAGAGAAGAAAGTCCAGAAGATGCCGGTTGTTATTAAACACTACATAGGCAGAGGATACCACTGCCTCTACCAAGATGTTTCTAACTTGAAATGAGGACATATAAAATAGATAAAATTAAATGAAATTTATATTTTCAAATTTGCCATTCAAAATAATATCCAGGTAAGGACAAAAATTAAAAATCAAGTATTCATCCTCCTTGTGCCACATACTTCAACTATATTACTAGGACACTAGCTTTACAGAGGCAGTTCATCAGATCAGACTTTGCCCCTTTCTGACCATGTACAAATGCAAAAATCAAAGAGGTCAAAATAAGTAAAGGAGTCCAATTTGCATTATGTACAGGGAAAGATTAAACCCATGTTTGAATTCAGTACTCATGCAGGATTCCAAAGAATCCTGGAAAAAAAGAACTAAACATCACCCAGAATTCTTGGACCACTCTACACAGGAAAATATGTTTTACATGATTGACTGGCAAACATCTAATACAGTTATGGCAGTGCCACAGTCCTCAAAACAATGAAAAAAATATACAGTGTATTTCATTATCTGAGTTTGACTACTCAAATTTTAGTATTTTGACTGAGTTGTCTTCAGCTAATTAGGAGAAGACTAATTCAGCTAATTAAAATACCTTTCGGAAATTAAGATAAAAAACTACAACATTATAGTATCACAATATTATAGTATGTGTCACCATAATATGTACATATTAAAAATGAATGTAAACCTAACACTTCAGCATAAAAGTGAAAAATACCAAAATTAATTCCTATTACTTTGAAAGAATTAGTGTCCATAAAACAATACATAATTAATAAAATGCAAGAGTTTATTATATTTATCTTGTCCAATTTTTATAAATAACGTGAGAAAAATACCACTACCAAAAGTTAAGAGTTAAACTTCAGTTCTTATTTATTTTTAATCAAGGATGTAAAGGGTTTGATATGCTATATAATTCTCAGCTGCATGGCTATGTTTTCCCTTTTCCTTTGCAAATCTAAGTTTTTCTATTTTAATAAACTTTTTCTAAGGAAAAAAGGAAAGATATAATTCAGAACTAACATGTTATAAATATCTAGCATAATGGATTGCAAAGCAATGTTTCTGCTCCTTAAGTACCCAGGTATCAAACCAGGTAAGTCAGGAATGTTTTATCATGCTAATAATTAATTTCACAGCACAAGAGAAATTTGAAATAAGAGTATGTAAGATATTTATTTCCTAATCTAAATAATGATATTTTAGGAACAATTTTAAATTATTCCTAGTTAAACAAAGTTTCAGTAGTATTACTAACTCTTACTCTAAGCAAACAGTCTAAGAGAGTAAATAAAGAAATCATCACTAAAACTAAATCACGGGGAACAGGAAAGGATAATGGGAAAAATTTTTTATTGTACTTTAAAACAATTTACCTGTGAGTAAACACTTATCATTATCCCTTTTACCTCAAAGTGATACTTAAAAGTTAGAAATGCTAAAACATTAGAAACATGACATAGAAAATAACTTTAAAATACTTTAGTGAGAAACAACAATGCCTGCTCCTCCTGTGTGCAGATTTCCTACTGCTTTTTAAACTTTTTTTAAAGCAATCCCTTTTATTTTTACCACAGGAATCACAAATTTCAAGGGCAATAAATTTTCTATGTATCCAAAGAACAGTGAAAACTTATCAAAAGTATCCTTGACCTTGGTTTACAGCTAATTTTGATAATATATATTTATATCCCTGCTGATCATCAATCTCATATTTTTCATTAGGAAACAGAGATGCACATGGCAGTTACTGTACATTTTTCCACAGTGACAAGTGCTCCACAATACAGTGGGATAAAATTGGAGCTTGGAGAGCTTGAAGAGCACTCTTAAATTTTAATTAAAACCCTCCAAGCTCACTAAAATAATTAGACACTAAAATGCGCCAGTTTTATTTTGAAGTCACTGTAACGTAAGCACACTCCCTGATCGACTGCGCGTGCTCTCCTTCTCTTTCTCTCCCTCTCTCCAGTGAAACAACTGATTTTCCAAATACGAACAAGGGGGTATAAATAGAGGCTGTTCTCAATCTTGCTCTTCATGCTGGGAAGCCGACAGAAAAGACAGTAGAGTGGGCTTCTCAGACTGCACCAAATGAACCTAGAATTACTTGCCTAACCAAGAGTTCGAATCACTGACAAACTGTAGATAAAAATTCAGTCTTCAAGGAACACCACGAGTTATATCACTGATCTTTTTTGATCCAAAAGCCAAACCTTTACCCTCTTAAATGTTTTTGCTATCTTAAAATATCTCATACAATGCTATATTCCATCCTATTTTTAGCCAAGCAGCAAGAGAAAGCATGCCTTTCCCATACAGCAGGGCAATGATACAAACATCAACACAGAT